ATGAACATGGGTGTGCATATATCTGTTCTTGTCATGGCTCTCACTTCTTTAGGGTGTATACCTAGTAATGGGATGGCTGGGTCAAATGGTATTTCTAATTCCAACTTTTGAAGGAATCGCCATACTGCTTTCCACAATGATTGTACCATTTGACAGTTCCACCAGCAGCGTATGAGAGTCCCAATCTCTCCACAACCTCACCAGCATTTGTTATTTTCTGTCTTGTTGAACTTTGCTACTAGTGCTGGAGCAAGATGGTACCTCATTGTTGTTTTGATTTGCATCTCTCTTAAGACATTAGTTTTTTAAAACATTTATTTTAAAGCATTATCTTCTATATTTTTATTTTAATCCAGATCCTTTTCCAAAGAAAAATTAAGTCAGAGCTAGTTTGAGCTGAAGCTCCAGAAAGGCTTTTCTGGTTTTAATTGTTGCTACCTGTGGATCAAAGATGTTGCTATTCCCGTAGCAGAACTAAAAACTGTCTCAACATCGGGTGTTCTCCTGGGTCTCCTTTTCTTCAAACTTACATCTGAATAGGAATATGCCTTTAAAATACACATTCATTCTGCTTTTGTGCGCTCAGTAAGCATCCAGTCCTTGGTATGCAGCTCTACACTTCCTCAGCTCTCAGATTTCCCTGGCTGAAGATCCTCCCCTAGCCCAGCTACTGGTAAAAACTGAGAAGTGGCTGGGTTCTAGGAATGGTAGACTTACAGAGGGCACCCCTAATGGTAGTGGGGTGACAGTACACATATCTACAGTTCTCTTGGTAAGAGTGAATGTTCTTGATAGTATCTTACTGGACTAATGGTCAGGTTTTAAATTAACTGAGTCTCTTAATTATTCTTAAAGGCTTGGGAGATACACCAAAATACAGTGGCTGACTTATCTTTACTATATCACTTTCTCTTTCTGATAAAATAATGACGGAAGGCCAAGTCGATGTGACTAAACACACAAAACAAACCTGTTAACCATGGAGTGATTCTGACTTAGGGTGGCCCATATGTAACTCATGTGTTACAGAGTAGAACTGCTCCATAGAATATTCTTTGCTGATTTTTATTTTTATTATGATTTGGGTGAAAGCTTACAGAGCGATTTCATTTTCCATACAGTAGTTTATACACATTTTGTCTCATTACATTGAGTGCAGTTTCCCACAGTGTAACAACTCTCTTTCCACTTCCTCCTCACGGTTATCTCTTCTCTGTGACCTTCCCTCCCATGCACTCCTGCCTCCGGAGCTGTCTCCCTGTGCATACACTGCCTTTCTGTTCTCCCATGTTTGATCTCTCCAAGGAGTGTATCTACCTGATGTAAATGTTCAGTCTCATCTGTAATTTTTATGAAAGCAGACGGCCAGGACTTTCCAACATGGTTCTGCTGGGTGGGTTTCAGCTGCCAACCTCCAGGTTAGTCGAGTGCAAACCATTTGCAACAATCAGGGATAAGGGATGTCTAAAGAGTTGATTTCTCTTTTTTTAACTTAAAATAAAACAAAAATATTCTGAATGAAGATATTTAGGAAAGCCTCCCAGTAAGCAGCCATCTTGTTTCCTGAAGACAAAGGTCAAACCCTCTTCAAATCAATGCCCAGGCCCTGCTGTGGAGAAGTGCTGCCTATAACCTCTTTCCAGGGCCCAGAGTTTGTTGAAGGGCCAAAGAATCCTTTTTTGCTGAAAAGTTGCAGAAATAAAACCAAACTAACAACTATGATTACAGTAAATATCAACCACAATAATTAACTGCTATTTTTCTTTCATCTCCTAATCCTGCTACATGAATAGGATAAGTTATTTTAGGTTGTTCTTCTCCTTACACATTCCTTCGGGCATCTGGCTTAAACTCACTGCCCATTTGTAGCTGATAACTACAGTTTATGGAGCAAGATGACCCTGAGAAAGATGACACCAAGCCTGAAGCAACCAAGATAAAGGAGAAAACAGAGACATCCCTGGTGGACCGAGAGGCCTGAGGGTGCCCACTCCCATACTCTCTCCTCCTGGTAGAGTTAACTTTCTAGGCAAGTATGGAGAATGTGAAGGACCCTTTCTCTTGACCAAGGATGGCTTTCTATCACTGACCAGAAGAGCAGAGAGATCACAGGGTAACACTAACTCATCCCAGTAACAAGAAAGCATTCTCAGCATTCCTCAAACCCTCCTACCCCTTAGCCCCATCCCCTTTAAAAACCCTAACCATTTCCCAGTTTGGGGAGACAGACTTTTTAGAGAAATGATTCTGTCTGTTTCCTTGGGTATTGATACTCAATAAATTCTTTTGCTTTCCTGCTTTAACCTGTTGTGATAATTGGCTCTGTGCAACGAGGGGTAAGAACTTCATTGTTCCTACAACAAGTTCAGGGTTCAGGGGATGGGACCCTTAGAACCTAAGAGTCCCCATGGCAACCTCCTCTTCCTTGTCCTTCATCTGTCCTTCACAGCCATCTCTCCCTCTCTGTTCCCTTCTTCTCTTGTCTTTTGTCAGGATCAAACTGCCTCTTACTTTCCTTTTTCCTATATCCATTAATCTCTAAGTTATGAAAATAACTTTAAAAATTTGTGCTTGAGTTGCCACCCACTGTTATGAGTCAGAATTGACTCAATGGCAATGAGTTACATTTCAGGAAGCTTGGGAGCCATTGTCAAGCAGAGCCACTATTTAAATTATATAAACTTACAATTTAATTATATCAAAGATAAAGTATTAAATACTTGAAACTCATCAATTCTTAATTATTTTAAGGCATTAAATACTTGAAACTCATCAATTCTTAATTATTTTAAGGCATTTAACTATAATCTATACCTTTGAGTTTGTTTATATTATGGCATCAATAAGGCAGAAATACTATAGAAAGGTGTATTACTGCTCACTTCTCAGCTCCATATGCAGTGACTTTACACTGGAAGCTTGAAATCAGTCATGGTGGTAATGTTTACATCACGGAAATTGTAAAACATTACAAATGAGGGTTTATTTATTACTTTGTTGATAAGAAAGTGATGAAGAAAATCCTAATAATGTAGATTAAATTTAGAAGTGTTTTTTCTGTAGTTGTTACAATGTGAATAGCACAAAAAATGGAGGAAATACTCTTCCCATATTCAAAAACTGTTACTGATCAAGGAAAGAAGGGAAGTTCTAACATAAACCTTTGTTGTTCTACTTTTTCACTCCATAAACAAAAATATCAACCACCATTCATACTAGGATTGTAACTTGTAACTAGGACAGTAACTTGCAACCATAGGTTAGCTACAGAAACAATAGTTACACAAAAATTAACAACAGCATTCTCTGAGAATTATTTGGCTGCACAGAATTTACAATAATGAGTTCTGTATATTTTATTATTCTTTATAATAAAAATTATATTCATTTTATATCAGTAAATTTTTTAAAATTTATATATGTATTTACGTGTATGTTTATCAATGTATAGATAAATATATACACATATATGTATCACCCTTTTGAAACATCATGAAAAAGGCAGAAAAGGAACAAAAAAGGCATAAAACCATAAGGGACAAAGAATGGGAACACACACTATAGCAGATGATAGATACATGATAGATGTCAATTAAATATGGAAAATGGAAAAGAATGAATGAGTGGCAACTGACTTGACAAAGCAAAGGAAAGCTGAGGTTTAACTGCCTGAGATAGGGAAGCCAAAATGAAGCAAGCCAATTCTCAGAAACCTGGGAAGATCTGGGAGTTGATAAGCGCTTGGCTGCTAACCGAAAGGTTGGTGGTTTGAATCTACCAGCTGCTAGGCAACAGAAAGACATAGTGATCTGCTCCCATAAAGATTGTTGTTGTTATGTGCCGTTGAGTCGGCCCCGACTCGTAGTGACCCCTCCTTGGGTTTCCAAGGCAGTATCACTACGGAAGTAGGATTGCCCAACCTTCCTTCCGAGGAGTGGCTGGTGGGTTTGAACTGCCAGCCTTCTGGTTAGCAGTCAAGTGCTTTAGCCACTATGCTACCAGAGCTCCTCACATAAAGATTACAGCTTAGGAAATCGTGTGGGGCAGTTCTGCTGTGTCCTATTGGGCCACCATAAGTTGGAATTGACCCGGCAGCACACAGCAACAACAACAACAACAACAGTAACTTGAGAGTCCCTGAGTAGTGCAAATGGATAATGCACTTGGTTAACACTTGGCTGCTTGGAGGTCAGAGGTTCAAATCTACCTAGAGGCACCTGGGAAGAAAGGTCTGGTGATGTACTTTTGAAAAATCAGCCATTGAAAACCCTATGGAGCACAGTTTACTCTGACACACATGGGGTTGCCATGTGTCAGAATCAACTTAGTACCTCAGCAAGTTTGAGGGAGGGCTAAAAGCAGGATTGATAAAGAGTTTTGTAAGGATTAGACAGACTTCTGGATTTTATCCTCCAACCCTCGCAGACAGGTGCTGTTTCACCTTCAACTTCTTCCTCATATCCTTCCCAGTAAAAAGAAACAGCTTTATTCTCTGAGTAGTTCAACCAGAGAGGCTCTGGATTCTGGGGTTCCAGCACAGCAGGGTCATGTGTAACCATACAGAAGACAGGGAATGACTCTCAGGCCCAAAATGAGACTTTTAGTCCCCTTTCTCAGTTCAGAACACATGCTACCAGGTTTACTTGCCTTGAGCTCCCACATCCCTACTACAGTGGAACTACAAGATTTCTCTCTAGGGAAATTATCTGCCCCAAGATAAAAGACCAACATATTGACATCTGGGGTCTCTCCAAAATAGGCTAGGCTTTGACCCACTGAAGTGTCCACAGGTTTACAATATCCACTTCCTGCCACTCGGCTTCCAATCATCTCTTTTGCACCTTCCTTGACATAGTATGGCCCACGATCACCAAGTATTTTAGGAAAGTCTCCAACATAAACAGATACTAAAAAAAAAAAAAGGGGGGGGGGGAAGGAGCTCAAAGGAAATGCAAAGAATGCAGGAAGCAGAAGAAAACATTACAGAAAATTACTATTTTCAGAAAATACATTCATGAAAGAAGGATAAGAACACTCAGAAATAAATAAATAGTAGAAATAAAAAAAAAATGCAAGAGAATAGCTGGAAAATAAAGTTTTAGAAAAAAAGAACACAGAAAATGAGGAGGAGAGGATGACAGAATTTTATCAGCTACACAACCCAAAATTGTTTTTCAGAACCAGAGAATTTTAATTTCGACTGAATATTCAGTATGACCAATTTAAGAAGATCCACACAGGTATGCATCATTTAGAACACCAAGAGTAAAGAGAAGATGCTAAAAACTACTGGAGCTTAGAAACAATCTATATACTGCTAACCAGAAGGCTGGCGCTTCAAAACCACTAGCCATTCCTCATAAGGAAGGCTGGGCAATCTACTTCCGTTGTGATACCGCCTTGGAAACCCAAGGAGGGGTCACTATGAGTCAGATCAGACAGGAGGGCAGTGTGTTGCATTTTGTTGTGAGAAAAAAAATACCATCAAGCTTCAACTGCAACAATGGAATTTTGAAGGAAAATGTTTTCCATCCTACAATTCTATACTTGGACAAATTTTCAGGAGTGTGTGAAGACAGAATTAAGATAAATGACGGGGATTTCCAAGTTAACAGTAAAGGGAAATTCTGGGAAGACAGCTTTGTAGTAGGCCTAGAACAGAAACAGCATACATTTTCTGTAAATGGCCAGCTATTAAATACTTTAGGCTTCATAGGCCACACGGTCTCTGTTGTAATTGTTGGGCTCTGCCCTTGCAGACCAAAACTGCCATAGATGATAATTAAGCAAATGACCATGTCTGTGTTCCAATAAAACTTTATTTGTGGACTGATATGAAAAGTCCAAAAATTTTCACATGTCAAACATATTGAATTTTTTTTTTCATCTATTAAAAAATGTAAAAACCCATTCTTAGCTCACTAGCTCTAAACAGTAGTTAACTTATCCCTGACATAGAGTACAACTAGTGAAGACTGGAATGGGAGAACAGATGACTTCAGTAACAGTGTATCTATGGAAAAAATGAAATGCAAAAATTACCCAGTGTATTTGATCGTTCTATTTTTTTGTAGAATTGGGGTCCAATTAGTGATTGAGTGCTTAGCAAATTAAGCATATAAAAATGGCCAGGATAAAACTTCTGTAAGAAAAGTAAAATAATCATAATAACATATTGTCATTGAATGCTGAATTTGGAGTCAAGTAAGAGCACCCAAATTGACTTAAAGCTCCTGAAATGAGATGGTAACTATGCTAAGATCTGAGGCCAAAACTCATTTTGAATCAAAAGTAACTTCTGCATCAAGAATATAGCCTGTCATTTCTGTAGCGCTCCACTGTACCCCAAGAAAATTACTTGGTAAACAATCTTGGAGAAGAATATGGTTTTGTTTGCTTAAGGGTTTTGCCTGTTGAAGAATATACCCTGTTCAAGGTCAAAGACAATTCTCAGAATAAATGCTTACTCAAGATAAACCTTAAAATTATGCATGTGCTCTGTGATCACACAAGGAGGGTCTCTGATTGTTTCAAGGCCAGATGTACCCAATTTAATGATTACTCTGCAATTTAAAGGAGTCTGTAGCATAGTGCCTCAGGCACTTGACTGCTAACCAGAAAGCTGGCGGTTCAAACCCACCAGCCACTCCTTGGAAGGAAGGTTGGGCAATCTACTTCCGTAGTGATGCTACCTCAGAAACCGAAGGAGGGGTCACTATGAGTTGGGTTTGACTCGACGGCACATAACAACAACTGTAACTTAAAAAAATTATTTTTAGAAACTTGTAATCTCATACCAATCATATGTACCCTCACCCAGTGTTGTAGCCATTATCTAAATGTCAACAAACTACTGAATTTTTAATTGAAGTTTCTTGCATTTTCTTGTAAAAACTTCCTGAACTGTTTCCTCCTCAGATCACTTAGTTCAGAATCCCTTGCATTTGCAAACTGCCTTGTCTCTCAATAAAAGCTTTTAATTTAACCAGAGTCTGTCGTTTTCGCTCAAAGACAGATTTAAGTAAAAATGGTGATGTGAGTTTAACCGCAAGACAGAAGGAGAGAAAGTGGAATTCAAAGTTGTGGAAAGTTGTATAGTGTCTAAAATTGAAAAAAAAATTACAAAATGGTAACATATGCATGTTATTTAGAAACATGGAAATAAATACCAGAAGAAACAATTAACAGAGTTGATATTGTTTCTCTGGGGAATGGAAGTTAGAATTATGGAGGGACAGGACTTAGAATTGCTTTTTTAAAGAATTATAAGTCTTGTAGTATTATTTGACTTTTAAACTTTGAAAATAGTCATCAGCTGCAAACATAGAATACCACCATTCTGAAACTGGGCCATCTCTAGCCTTTGCCTGGTGGTTGGTCCATTACCTATGCATTCAAACCTCTAAAACACACCAAATTGAGCCAATGTATATAATTTTGGAGATTCTTTTTCAATGAAAAAAAAAATTTAGGAACTAAATCATATTTTCTTCTTACTTTCTTGTGTGTGTTTATCCTGGGCTCTGGATCATTGTTGCTATGATGATGAATAAAATACATCCTGCCTTCTAGGAATTTAGGGGAGAGGTGGGTAAGCAGAAAGGGAACAAGTAATTTTAATAAATATGATATATATCATGATGGAATATGCACAGGTTATTAATGGGGAAATAGGGGAAGGGCATGTAGTTCTCCCATCAGGGTTGGAAAAGAGTTTTGGAAAAGATTTTGACTAAATTGCATTTTGAAGGAGGAGCTAGGCTAGGGAGGAGCTGGGGAGAACTCATTCCATCAAAGGGAACAGCATGAGTAAAGGCATGGACACATTTAATAAAAAGGTATTTGAGAAGATCAGTAGATAGAATTTGGTGTCACTAATGCATATGCTACAGTATAAAGTTCAGGTAGGGAGCAATGACACATGAAGCTGGAAGGTGAGTAAGGGTCAGGTTGTCTGGTAGGCAATGGAGAAACAAAAATAGACTTTAAGCAGAGGAGTATTATGCTCAGATTTGTATTTAGAAGGAATACTCTTAACAGCATTTGGGATGTTGGATTTGATAGGGATAAAAGTGGAGGTAAGGAGACTATTGCAACAGTCTATGGGAGAAATGATGAGGGCCTGATCATAGTTGTCATAGTAGGTTATCTGAGGACATCTAACTGCTTAGGCTTAGTTTTATATTCAAAGTTATAAATTCAGAGGATACTAGACAAATATACTAGATACTAGAGAAATACTGCAATCATGAGTGTATAAGTAGCACGCAAAATCAACCAGAAAAACATGTAGAGTGAAAAGACCTGTGAGCTTATCACCAAACTTTGAGAGACACTGTATGTAAGGAGTAGGTGGAGAAGAAAACAGAAAAGAAATGGTTACAAAGGTAGAAAAGAGAAAAATGAGAGAATGGAAGCCAAAGGAATAGAGTGTTGTAAAAACCAGAGTGTGGGTACAGAGTGAGGATGAATTAGAAACATTTCTCGGGTTAATTTGTCCTGTCCCTCTCCTTCCCATCCTCCCTTCTCTGTTTGTGACGTCAGTTGTTTTCACTCTCTTTCCTCTAGGCTTTCCCATTTTTGTCTTCTATTATAGTCTATTTTCCCATTGCCTTTTTCCCCAACTATTATTTATTTACTTTGAATTAAAAATTTTTTTTTTATTGTGATTTAGGTGAAAGTTTACACAGAAAGTTTGCAGGAAATTGCTTTTCCATTCAACAATTCATACGCATTTTGCTTTGTCTGATTGCAATCCCCACAATGTAACAGTACTCATCCTACTTCCTCCTTGTGTTTACCATTTCCCTTCCTGCCTTGTGAGCTTCATTTTGTCCCTGGGCAAATGCTCCCCTTTTGATATTATACGGTTAGTTGTTCTAAGGAGTGCGTACCTTCCTGGTGTTATTATTCACCTTATTGTCTATCATTTGGCTGAAAGTTGAGCCATGGGGGTGAGTTCAGTTCCAGGCTTGAAAGGTGTCCCTTCATCTTTTCATTTTGAAAAATTTCAAACTTTCAGAAAATTTGCAATAGTATAATGACCACTAATATCCTATTCACCAAGATAGTTACCGATTGTTAATTTGCTATATTTATGTTCTCTAGGTCTGTGTGTAACTGAGAGCATAGCATAAATACATATATAAAAATATACATATATATATACATACAGAAACACATACATATATATGGTGTATGTGTAAGTGAAAGCATAAATATACATATACATATATACACAAACATATACATACATATATATGTAGATATCATGCGTTATGGCTTGAATTGTGTTCCCCCGATATATGTGTCAACTTGGCTAGATCATGATTCTCAGTATCATGTAATTATCCTCCATTTTGTAATCTAATGCAATTTTTATATGTGTTCTAATTCCTAACCTCTATGATATTAATGAGGTAGGTTTAGAGGCAGTTATGTTAACGAGGCAGGACGCAATGTACATGATTAGGTTATATCTTGAGTCAGTCTCTTTTGAAATATAAAAGAGATTAAACAAGTAAGCACCAACCGTTCACAGCAATTGGCTGCCTTTCTAGGGACAGAGGGACCTCAGTACCATTAAGAAAGAAAAGCCGGGAGCAAAGTGTGTCCTTTGGACCTAGGGTCCCAGTGCTGAGAACCTCCTGGACCCAGGGGAAGACTGGTGCCAAGACACATGGAGATCTCCAAGGAATGCCAGGCCCACAGATGTTTAAAGATGACAAGGACTTTCACCTTGAGCCAACGAGAGAAAGCCTTCCTCAAGAGTTGGCACCCTGAATTCAGACTAGTCTCTCACACTGAGAGAATAAATTTGTTTGTTAAAGCCATCCATTAATGTTATTTCTATTATAAGCAGCATTAAGACATCAAGACATTTCACTCCTAGATACTTGTATTTCCTGTTATGTGCCGTCGAGTCAGCCCTGACTCATAGCGACCCCTCCTTGGGTTTCCGAGGCAGTATCACTACGGAAGTAGGATTGCCCAACCTTCCTTCCGAGGAGTGTCTGGTGGGTTTGAACCGCCAGCCTTCTGGTTAGCAGTCAAGTGCCTTAGCCACTATGCTACCAGAGCTCCTAAGAACATGGATATTCTCTTACAAAACCACATTCATAGTCAAGATATTTAACCTTCATATATTATTTAATATATACTCCATATTCAAATTTCCCCAATTGTTTCAATAATATCTTTTATACCTACTTCCTTCACCCCCACTCCACGTTACATTTAGTTGTCACGTCTCTTTGGTCTCCTTTAATTCAAATCAGTTCCCCAGCCTTTTAAAATACTTATTTGCCTTTCTTGACATTTATATTTTTGAAAAATCCAGGCCCATTGTTTTGGAGATTGTTTCTCAGGTTGGGTTTATTTGAGTGTTCCCCATGATCCTTCTGCCTTTTGTCTTTACCATCTGAAACAAAAATATGATCTTGATACTCCCATTTAAAAATATTAGAAGGTTCCTTATCATCTACTGGATAAAATTCAAATTCATTTGCAGCATCACCTCTCCTAGTTACTAATAACTTGTTCTTTAGGTAAACCACACACCACATACTTTCTATAGTCTTATCAGTTTTTCCCCATTTGGGGATATCCTTCTCTAGGTAAATTTATACCCAACCTTCAAAATTCTGTTACTTTATCTGACAGATATTTGTTGAGTGTTTATAATCTACCTAGCACCGTACTGGGTGCTAGGATATAACTGTGAATATGATCTTCATAGTCTCTTTCTTAGGGAATTTAGACTGTCTGAAATGTCATCTTTCTTATGCTAGTATAACATTCTATACACATCTTTAATATAACATTTATCACATTATATTGCAGTTTTTGTTTGTGTGCTTGTCACTCTGCTGGACTGTAAGCTTTTCCAGAGTACAAAAAAAATTTATTCATCTTTGCTTTCCTAGCATCTAGAGCATGTTGTGTGCAGTCCCATAGTTACCCTATGAGACAGAGTAGAACTGGTCTACAGGGTTTCCCAGGCTACGGGAGCAGATCACAAGGTCTTTTCTCCAGTGGAGCTGTTGGAAGCACTAAATAAAGTTTCACTCAATAGTAAGTGAAAGAAATAACTCCTGCTAAGTGTTAGCTAGGAAGCATTCTCTCTTTTAGTTAAAGAATATGGTTTAATTTAAGTAAATTCTGGGAATCTCTTGTTTAGGAAGGTTTTTAGTCCTTCAAATCATCCACACCTTCATTTGGTCAAAGGATGTTGTTGTTGTTGTTGTTGTTATGTGCCATCGAGTCAGACCCGACTCATAGATAAGCAAAACTATTTCCCAGCAGGAAGATGCAATAAGCATTAGAGTAAGAATGACAATTATTCTTCAGGAGTTAGCACTGCTGCTGCTATTAAAATTCTACCTGAAATGTGCTTTGGCAAGGGACACTTACAAAGCTGTGGCAACAACAGAGATGACAGCTGCATTTCATTAATATCTTCCTAAAACACATTTTTTATGGCGGTCTCTTACACACTCCCCCACCCAAACAGCCTTCAATCAATCAATTTCCATTGCCAGTACAATTAATTTCCTCTTGAACATCCATAGCACCACTTCCAGTACTTGCTTGTATTTAATTTTACATTTCATGTTGTGCAACATTTTATTTCCTAGTTCCTGTTTTGCTTATTTAAAGAGATTACAGCTTCCTAAAGCTTTGTCCAACACAGTATTAGGCATATAGTAGACAGGGCACACTTTTAAAATTGACCCTCTTATGGAACGTTGGATGATATTATGACTACATCAAGGAACCTGGTAATAGTGCCTGTCAAAAAATAGACTTTCCTATACTTTAACGTGCAGAAGAATCACTGGGGTGGTGGCGGTAAATTCTTGTTAAAACGCTATTCTGATTCTGTAAAGCTGGGGGAAGCTCAATAATTTGCATTTTAAACAAGGTCCCAAGTGATGCCGATGCTGCTGGTCCGTGGACCACACTTTGAGTAGCAAAGGTATAAAGGAATGTGCAAAAGGAAGGCAAATACCTTGTCCAAAACATATTTTGTTAAGTGTTAATTAAATAGCAGAAATATGGTTAAGATGAAGCCAGGCTGAGCCCTTCTTTCCCATCCTCAAACGTCCCTTTCCCGCTCCATCTCCCCACCCATTATAGCCGAAATCTCCACCTCCTTAAGCCGTAAGAACACAAGCAGAAACAGGCCTAGGTACGAAAGACGCGAGCCCAGGTAACAAAGGAAGGATCTCCCTGCACTTACTAGTCTAAGAACCCGAAGATTAGATGGAGTCTGAGCTGTGGTCTCTTTCAAGCCATAGAGAAAAATTCAAAATTAAATCCTTGTCATGGAGGGACCAATCGTAGCCATGGTCTTTCCACGATTCGCTCGCGCAGAAGCAAACCCTGGCCTGTGATTGGCTGAGATAGCACCATCCTCTGGCCATTCGGAGCTGAGGCGCTCCCGGTCTCCTCCAGGCGAGAGGAAAAAGGAGGGGGAGCTGAAGAGGAAAGACGGTGTGTCCACGCCCTCTATGCTGTTTGTGGAAGGTTTTGTGTAATTGGTTGGCGCTTTTTCCGATTGCACCAATCGCAAGGCCTTCTCTTCTGAGTCCTAATTATGAAATTGAGAGAAGGGGGGCAGCCAATGGAAAAAAAAGTGAACAGCAGCCAATCCTCCGGTGGCGTTTTGTGTCTTTGGCCAACAGGAAAATGTGTTTCATGCGGAGGGGCGTTACCCACTTTCCAATGGGTGGGCATCGGTGCAGCTGGGGAGCCAATCAGTGCGAGACGTTGAGTGACAGCTGTCCAATAGGGACCTTCAGTGCTAGTACGGTTTGCGGCTTAAGCGCCGCCGCGGTCTGAGGAATGTCAACTATTCAACATGGAGGCAGAGGTCGATAAACTGGAACTGATGGTGAGTGAAAGTGAAGGAGATCTACTGGGTAGTTTATTTCCCCCCCATGGCCTCGAGGTGAGACACAACTTGGAGCCTCCGGAAACTCTAGTCGGCAGAGGCTGGACAAGACTTTAGTTCCCTCCTCTTGCACTAAAGGGAGTCGCCACCGCCTAGTCCCTTTTAACCGCCGCGGGGAAGGGGTTACATCCGGGAAACTCGTGAGGGAAATGGCGGGAGATGCTGAGGGTGCAGGGCCTTTGGAATTCCTTGTTCCTTGGCCTTAGCCTTTCCACCAGTCAGGAAACTGTGGTTGGTGCATGCAGCGTTCTATTCCCACTGAAAGATGTGATTGAAATGCTCCCTAAACGTCCTTAGAAGGGGAGAGGTCGTTACAGCCCAAGAAAGGGGGAGGGAGGGTGGGATGTATCTCAAAGGAGGTGCATTCCTTTTGGGCTGAACCATTCGTGTTCTCAAAGGCCGAGCGAGAAAGGATGCTCGGAACTTGTATTCACAATTTCCTAGCAATAAGAAAGCCCCTGGAACTATTTCTGTTTGTCCTGGAGGTCGCAAGTCTTGTGTGAGGGAGAGTGGTGAGCGATGGGCATCTGAACCACGAGCTTTTTCCCTGGAGCGCGAGTGGGAGTGGGACAAGGAAGGCGCTCTGCTCTCCAGTTGCCCAGTTTCATTCATTTGTCGAAGTAGACTAACTGCCACATTCTTTTGTGGGCGGAGGCGAATTGGAAACTACTTCGGTTAAACCTGGCGAGTTTGGCCTGCGTGAGAGCGCCAAGCTAGGGGCGGGGGGCTGCCTTTCTGGTTTCGAGCCTTCGCTCCCATCCCTAGAACTGTCAGTTTGCTTGCCCGCGCTTTTTGCTAATCTCGGTTCCCTTGTTCTGTCCCTTGGCCCCACTTTTCCCCCCGGCCTATCAGTCTTTTTGGATTGGGCTGGCTTTCTGAAAAACATGGAAATTGAAGGAGACCACTCGTCTTTGAGCTCCCGTCGTTGTTAAAAAAAATAACAAAAAGATATAAAAGTGCCCCGACTGTCTTTTCTCTATCACTAATCCGCCCGCGCTCCCAGTCCTCCACACGCCAGGAGTTGTTTGGCGTTACTCCTTAGATACCGTTTGTGCCGGTGATCTCTCTCCTGAAAAGGACGTGTGGTGATCGAGGCAGAAACTGAGCTACCACCCTAATCTATCCCATTCCCACCTTAGAAATTGTAAGACCTTGATATTACCTTATTACTTCTTTCTGATATAGTGATGAATTGGAGTGCCTTACATATAAAAATTTGATTTGAAGTCTTTCAGTTGCTTCTAACATATGTTGTGTTAACTTTCTTTGTGATGGGTAGAAGGTGTGGGGATAGGAGGGAGAGAAATGGCAGAGAAGAAGGAAGAATTTTCCGCTTTCCAAATCTGTAACAAGTGAATTTATCGTCCAAAGTTTTATTTTTAACACTAATTGTGTTTTTAAAAGACACACGAACAAACCCAAAGCATGTTGAGTATTGTAGTTTAATCTATCATGAGGCGTACATGTTGAAAGACTAACTGCCTCTCTCTCTCCCCCATTCTAAATACCTCCCTCTAGATAATATTTCTGCTTGGTCGTAATATGCTAAATGACACTAACTGCCTTTAACAGTTTTTTTTCCTCAAGTTGGCTGTTTAGGTTTGAAGTTACACCTTTTCTGCCCTTTGCAGTAGTCATTATCCACACAGGACTTCTTTAGCTTGAACAAATTTTACTTTGAGGGGAAAACAATTAAGCATCTTGACAAAAAGTAAATTTTAGAAAATTATGAGGTAGCTGGATTCAAACTTTTAGATGCTGTTTGAATGATGGTGTAGTTTTCTGAGTATTTTTTATGAGAGGAAGAGAAGAAAGCAGGTATTTTTCCTTAAATTTCTTTCAGGTATTTTAGTTTTTTTTTTTTCTTTCAAGTTACTAGTTTGTAGTCATTAGGTTTAAAAATGGTATTTGAACTTTTTAACTTTAATACGGCTTTTGATATTACTGCTTTTCATTGACTGGATAGTTAAAGATAGTTCATCTCATATTCAGAAGATTTGCCATGTGCCTTTAGAAAAAACGTTACTTCTGTGAACCAGCTTAGTTTCTAAGATTCTAAAAGTAAACTGTTTCTGTGCAATCCTCTAATTTTTGATTTTACATTATTTAAATAATTGGCTGATAAACCCATATTGAATATATAATATGTAAAAAGAAGATGCATACTATTTAGCTTTCAAGATAAAGTACTTATTTAAATTTTGTAGATGACCTGGTACTCTAATTTTAAAATATTTGATATTTTTCTTCTTTGTTTTAATTTCTAATCCAGAAAGTTAAACATTTGTCTTTTAAACGCTTGTCTTTAAAACTTGAGCTGTGGCTAGCAGAGTTGAACTATCTTAACTTTGAATTGTGTGGCCCAGGGTTGAGGGCAGGGTTCCAGCTGTCCTGAATTTGAGTCCATTTCTTAGTGCATTCACAATCCAGCTAAATAGTTGAACTGGACCATATAAAGGGAGGTTGGGGGAAAATAATGGGAATGTATTTCTGTATCAATCGACCTTATTAATGGGGGAATAAGCTCATTGTAGGGTAATCTTATCTATGAGTTGGAATCAACTGAACAATGAGTTTGGTTTTGGTTTTGAGGGTAATCTTTGTTTTCTATGTTTTTTCTTTACTTACTGATTGAGTGATAATTGGTGTAGTGGCCTTATGTGGTACCACTGGAGATTGTGCACAAAAGATAGTGCAGTGTGATACTGTGATACTGCTTTCATTTCTGGGTTTATATGTGACTTTTGATGGATGCTTACCAGTTTAACGATTATGATATTTATTGCCTCCTGATTATTATTTCTCCCTGATTTTCTAAGTTGGAAGGCAATGGAGCTTCTTTCCTCTTTTATTTAAGGTATTTTAAGAGTTAACTGAAATTTTAAAATCCTCTTTCAGGGTGTTCAGTCAGGTAGAGCTAATGTCCTGTTTAGGGCCTTGATTTCGCAGGAAGTCTCTTCCCTTGTTATAATAGCCCTCAGTAAATTCTTGAGGTAGAAAGCCAAGAATGGTAAGTGCTTTTTATGATGTAGTAGGTTCCAGAGAGATGGGTATATACAAAGTGAGAAATTACTTCACACTTCATTTGTTTTCTTTGATATTCTTATCCAAAGGGCTTAATTTACATGGCAATAAATCAGTCTGGAAGGAGCTGTACAATCATATCTCAGCAGAACAGAAATCTTTTTCACAACTTTGCCTTAGTGTAATTATAACAGGTTTTGTTAGTACTAATCCTAAAGTAGTAACAACATTTACGTTAATTACTGCTAAGGCTTAGGGTATAATAACAAAATTCTTTTCTATATGTATGCATATTTCTGCTTGAATATTAATAGATTAGTTATCAGAAAATGAAATACATAAGCCCAATTTTTTTTTCTAAACCTTGATATAAATGTTCTTAGGTTTTAGATGTCTTCTGGCCAAAATGGCAACCCTACTTTAAATTCTTTTCACACTGAAGCTTCAACTGATGCCAAATGCTATTGTGTTTCTTTTCCACCTATTACTGCTAACGAATGCTCTGACTTTATTGCACTACTGTACTTTACAGCTAGCAGTGCAATAGTATTGTCAAAGCATCTGAAAGCAGGATGCACACCAGAATTTTGATTCTTGCTGTACATCTTTCTTCAGTATCTGTGAGTAATTTTAACACTATAATATTGTTACCAATAGTGTATCTTTTAAAAAAGTCATAATTTGAAAAAAAAAACCAAAAAAACCACTGTTTAACTAATTAAAAACTCATTATGGTCTGACTCGACGGCACATAACAACAACTGTTATAATGCTTTATGAAACAAACTAAGAGAATACTTTTTATATGTAAAGTTGTTAGGGCTTGTCTAAATGAGTAGTACTTTGTAATTTGCTTCTTTCTATAACAGATTTAGATATACTGGCAAACGTTGGGTTTTATTTAATTGAGTTATATATGATGAATTAGAAAGCAGTTTGTGCTGTACATTTCCTATAACTTGCCCCCAAATTTGTATTTTATTACTGTGAAGGAACTGCTTTTATTTAAAATTGAAGTACGCTTGTCTTTAAGTTTTTTTTATAATTATAAAATATAATGATGTGTGAATTAATCACTTGTAGTTTTTATGTAATTACTTTTACTGAGGTTTAATTTACATACAATTACTTAAGTGTACAATTTGATAAGTTTTACAAAACTTAAGACCATACAACTACTGTCATAGCAATGATAAAGAACATTTCCATAACCACAAAAAGTTCACTTGTGCAGTTTACTAGTCAACCCCCTCTTCATAAAACCCTCTATAACTGATGTGAAGTTTTGCCTTTTCTAGGATTTCATATAAATGGAATAATACAGTAGATAGTCTTTTGTGTCTGGCTTTCACTTAACAAAATGCTTTTGATATTCATCCCTGTTGTTGCATTTTTCAGTAGTTAGATCACTTTAATTGCTGAGCTTTACTCCGTTGTTTGGAGTATCACAAATTGTTTATCCATTTGCCAGATTATGAATTTAGGGCTTTTTCCCAAGTGCTACATATTATAATAAAGTTGCCGTTAATAATAGAGTACAGATCTTTGTGTGGACATAATGTTTTTATTTCTCTTGGGTAAATACTAAGGAGTGGGATTGCTGGGTAGCATAGGAAAAGTATACTTGCTCTTACAAGAAATTACTAAAGTCATTTTCAAAGTATCTGTACTACATTGCATTCCCAAAGCTATGTATTGGGGTTCCAGTTTCTCTACATCTTTGCTAACACTCAGTATTCTCAATCTTTTTAATTGTAGAGATTCTATCAGTATTTAGTGGTTTTAATTTGCAGTTTCTTAATTGCTATTGCTAGTGAATTTGTGCTTATTTTCCATTAGTATATGTTCTTTGATAAAATGTCTATTAACATTTTTGCCTGCTTTTAAATAGAGTTGTTTATCTTTTTGGTTATCAG